TGTGGAGCAATTGGTGGAATTAAGATTGGCAGGGGAAACCGAAGTACTCGGAGAAAACCTGCCCCAGCTCCACTTTTTCCACCGCAAATCCCACTTGAACAGACCTGGGATCGAACCCGGGCCGACGCGGTGGGAAGCCAGAGACTAACCGCTTGAGCTATTGCGCGGCCTGAGTTCGATATAACGCATTTCCTCCTGGAAAGAAAACACTATAGGACCAGAATGCTGGACGCTGGATGTGAACGTCATGACACTGGTTCACCGCACTGTTTGTACGTACTGTACCCGCCCTCAACGATATTACATGGTAGCATTATGAAATCTTAAGTGGGTTGAAAATACAGTAAACCCTAGCTATGACCGCGCCATAGCTCAATTTCTGAGTTTTCTATCTATGAATAAATGTGTTGTACGTTTATAGTTTTTAAATAAAGGTTCTATAGTGATATTTTTTGTTTTCATTAGCACTATTTATATCGTTAAATTTCAAATTTATTCGTTTTCTAAGTTTTATTGTCGTTTAGGATGCATTTTGCTTCACTAATCCTAATTATCGCTTAATCCAGATGGCTTCTCCCCCTCCCCAATTAACCCGGATTAGCAAGGGTTTATTGTACTGCCAATCACTGCATGAATGAAATTTGGAAAGCAACTATATTTAAGGTTCGGTCTAGAAAACCGAGATTAACGGCAGTGGGGATCCGGTGCGCTGACCACGCGACACCCTCTCTCCGCTAAAGTTGGCACTAACTTCGCCGACAAGCGACGGTCGCTCGGTCGGTACAGTTAGCTTTCGGAAAACAGGCCACGGAGTTTTTTTTTTTGTTTGTTACTATTTTTAAGGTTAGGTTTATCTCGAATGAGTATTAAATGTATTGCTAAGATTTCTGGGTAAAATAAACTGAGATTGATAATGTCTAGTCCTGAAAATAACTTAGCGTTGTGGACAGGACCGACTTGAAGGAAGAAGCTTCTCGTTTTTCCGCAAGAGCCAGAGTTCGCACCTCACTCCATGCATTTGTTTTGTGGCTCTTATAAGCTTAAACTATAGTTATCTTCGTAACAGAACACATAAAATTTTTTATAGTAATTATTCTTGCGTTGGAAAATTATGGCGACCGAAATAATTCGTTGTTGACGCATTTCATTTTAGTAATAAAAAAAAATTGCACATAACACATTTAACTTTCATGACTACTATTTCTCAGGAATTATGTTTATATAATTTTATTTCCAGATTTATACGCTTTAAAAACTAAACAAATGAGGATGAAATTGGCGGGGCATATACCACGGATAAGGAATGCGCATAAAAATTTTCTCGGAAATACTGAATGGAAGACCCTCACTTGTAAGATCTAGGCATAGATGGAAGGATAACACTAAAATAGATCTTGAAGATATAATAGTGTATGGAATGGATTCATCTGGTTCAGGATAAGTAATTAGCTGAGAAACTCCTAAATTCTCAGAGGACTCTTTTCCTCTAACTTGGTTATAGTTACAGAAGCAGCAGGAAGTTCCGCGTAGGACATCGAGTCCTGTAAGTTTCATGCAACTTTAATGCAATAAATTCAGTTTAGCTCTCCTCTCTCTGTACTCAACTCGTGCGCAAATAGCCACGAGAAATAAGAGAAGCTGGAAAATATTTATACCGCTTCGAATGGAAATTATTTTACATTTTATTATTATTATTATTATTATTATTAGTATTATTATTATTAAATAACTTATTATTTAAGTAAAAATTTGATCTATGTTAATTTTATTTAAAATAATCTTTAAATTTCGTATCGTCGCCATGTTTGTAACTGTATACCGATAACGAAAATGGAACATAGAATTTGTAGGCATGCCTGTCATCTCTGTCGACGTCAAATATAAAACGCCTTCCTCCAATTATGCATTAGTATTCTTACGTACATAAAGATACAGCTAAAGCTATCCGTATAACAGGCCGTGGAGGCCCATAGGGTTGAGACGTCGAGGCTCCCACATTTTCCCTGGACAATCGGCTCACAGACTGCGGTGAGGTTGTCAACCTTAAAAGCCGGCCGCCCTTTACCTCCAGGAGGGTTCCTCGCAATCATTTCTATTACAGGCTGAGTCGACCCCAGGGCCACAGTGGAGCTAGAAGGTCTAGAAGCCGTGACCTTTCGGCTTGTAGCATAGTGCCTCAACCAACTACGTTACCGCCTGCCCCTCTGAATGCGCAGGTACAGTATGAATTTCACTGATACGAAGCCCGGACCGTCTGATCTTTTCAGTGCTCTCAGTCATCATTCTGCACATAAGTCATGAAGAGAACTGTATAAATTTCTCATCTCTCTCTCTTGCTTGCGTGCTAAGTATTTGACTCATCATTTTCCTAGTAATTTAATCACTCCAGTATTTCGAGCCCGGTCTAGAAAACCGAAATTAACGGCCGTGGGGATCCGTTGCGTTTACCACGCGACACCCTCTATCCGCTAAAGTTTGCACTTACTTCACCGACAATTGGAGGTCGCTCGGTCGATATAGTTCGCTTGCGGACTAAACCCACGTCCGCCGTCCGAAGTCGCTACCAATCAACGGCAGTGAAGATGTGACACTAGATTATGCACAATAGTGGAATGTAGTCACACCGTGTATCAAAGAGTTCAATGGCTCCGATCATCAATCCAAAACCAGTCAACAGTCACTCTACATAAATCGTGTGAAAATATGAACTATTAAATATTCAAATGTAACTACGTCCTTGTGTTTCATTAATTATTACTCTATTAAGACTTCTGGGGGTGGGGCAATAGAGATAGAGCTCCATGCATTCTTAAACGTAGCACTAAATGAAAGTGAATGGACACCTTCAAGCCTCGATCGCTTTAACTCCAACGAAGAAGTTCCGGTACGTCTGTGTAGGGGGCTAGGTGGGCCCCAGTTACTAACGGAATTCTGTGGAGAAAAGAAAAATCTCTTGCCCCCCACCGGAAATCAAACGTATTTATATCGGAGCAGTCGGTTGGGTAATCGCTATACCGACTGGGTTATTCCGTCTTGTAAAGACATTCTTTCATCAGGAATCTGATCTGCTGGTTCCATACTTCCACTTAATTTAAGCTAAATTATCTTCACAGAGAATCAGAGCAAGTTGAATAGAGTTCCGGTCTACAAAATCGAGATTAACGGCCGTGGGGAACCGTTGCGCTGACCACGTGACACCCTCTATCCGCTAAAGTTTGCACTACATCTCCGACAAGCGGCGGTCGCTCGGTCGGTATAGTTCGCTCGCGGATTACAGGCCAGGAAGTTAAGTTCAGTAGAGTACATTTTCAGAATTTAATAATTACTCAGGTAGAAAAATGTAATGCTATCCCTGTAACAGGCCATGAAGGCTCATAGGGTTGTGAGACGTCGAGGCTCCCACATTTTCTAGACAATCGGCTCGCAGATGGCGGCGAGGTTGTCAGCCCTACACGCCAAGCTATCCCTGTAACAGGGCGTGGAGGCTCGTAGATTTGTGAGACGTCGAGACTCCCATATTTTTCTAGATAATCGGCTCACAGGCGGGGGTGAGGCTGTCAGCCAAGGGAAAAATAAATATTAAAATGAGCCTTAAAGAAACATGGGCGTAAAGTGTGTTCATATATGGAAAGATGGAGGATTATTATTAACAAAGAAATGAATATTCGGGTTTCATAAAGGGCGTGAAATTCCTTAAACAGGCAGACAAATATCAGTTTCTCGAGAAGAATTCTGCTTGGGGGAGATAGTTTCTTAAACAGTTATTGAATTTTCTTTCAGTACTGAAATGTTTACATTGCTAAGAACTTGTTTAATTAAAGTTTACTCCTACATGCGTTTACACAGTCATCTTAATCTGCTGTCTCAAATGTTTGCTGTGAGGGGAAGGTGTATTGAAAGGAAATGTAGCATGTTTTCATAACCTCCCGTACTCACGAATTCCCAGTGAACTCAGATGAACTCAAATCGCTGTTATATTCACTTAGGTAGATTTTATTCTGATAAGCCTAGAATGATGTGTTCTTTCGAAATAATATCTATGAAGCATATAGCCAAGTCTTCACACATCAGAGTAAGTCTCTAAGATGGTACAATAGGCCAGAAGTGGCCGCAGTACAAGGGGCTTAGTCCCACCCAACTAGCAATTAAAAAAAAAAAGTCTCTCTGAGGTCCTCACAGCAGTCATATAACGTCGTGGAGTCCGGTGAAAGGCAACTGACTTTTCAAACACATCGCTTCCATCTTCAGGGTTTAAGAGAAATTCGAGCAAGTAATTAGCGTTAAGGAGACAGCAAGTAGAGCTTACCTTTCGACCCTGAAGATGGGAGCACTGTATCCAAGGAAACAGATCTCGTGTATTTATATAATAATTTTCATAACCTCTATGTCTAATACAAATCAGTTATGTAAAGTTAAATTTGTCCCTGTGCTTAACTAATTAAGCATTACGCCATGACTACGTATGGGGAAGTGGATGTATAGACCCACCTTTTCCTCATCTCGGCAATAGTTAGAGGTGAGTGGTCAGTTTCACTGCCCGGCTGCTTTACCCCTAGGGAAAGAGCCCCCGGTACCTTTTGGATAAGAGGTTGGGTGGGCCTTAGAGCCGATCTGGACGACGCGGAGACGATAAAATTCTTGACCGTACCGGGACTCTTAACTCTGAACCCTCGGTCTAGTCCGTAGCCAGTCGCTATACCGACTGAGCTATCCCGGCTGCTAAATCAGTTCAATATAAAACATAAATCTGTTGCCACTTCCTTTAGGAACCACTACACATAGCTTTCTTCTGCTATAAGAGTCCCCGTATATAATTACAGTCCTCTTACTCGGTATGAATCCATTATCGCATTTAAAATATCGGATTCCCCACCTCTCGTGCTCGGCGCTGTTGGCATCCTTGTAGTGCAGCTAAGTGTCTCTTTCTCTCCGGGAACTCCTAGGCCCACTGGAGGCCCCATGGAGGCTGACTCCTCTATGTCTCGTTAGTCGTGTGCCTATCGCTGTGGGGACCGGTTGTGGAAAGCGGTTCACACCAGCCACTAGCTCTAAGCCGCTGTTCTGTGTAGTTACGGGCGTCAGGCCAACTAGATAGTCAGTTAGGGGAATATTCGGAAACCCGGTTTGAAATCAGTGGTAAGAGGAAATTAGATAAATTATACATCATTCTCTATTGTTAACTGTAGTTTATAGTATTATTGGCATAAAGTATATACTGTTGTTTAGGGAACGCGTTATGAAGTACGTGGTGTTGGTGATGTCTCTATACTGTTACCAGTGAATGCCTTTCTAATCTGTGGAAAAAAGTTTCTGATAACCAAGCAACATGTGTGGTGTGCATACTGTGATTTTTTCTCGTGTACATTAATGAAACCAACATACATGAAGAGGAAAACTGGAAGTTTATTTAGTGATCTATCTTCCTGCAACATTTCAAAAGTGAGGTGTCTTATATAAGGACTTTTAGTTTGAAATAGTGTTACCATATACCATCAAACTAAAATAATTAAATCCCTACTTATATTAATTAAACTTTGCATTTAATTTTACTTTAATTATCTTTCGGAGGTGACTTCGAAGAATGAAATAAACAAAATGATTACGAATATTATCCATTCAGAATTTGTGTAAAGTTAAAGAACGTAAATAAATAAATAAATCGAATAAGTGAATTATCGATAAAAAGTTTTGTGCATCTGAAAGCGCATCAGATCATCAGTGGTGATGCCTGCAGTATCATCTAGCCGGACACGATTATTGTCATATTCCGAAACTTTTGACATTACTTCAGATATCCTCAAACCCAGAAGCATCAGTGGTCACCCGCCAAGCATATTTTACACACAACATCGCCAACACAACAATCGTAACACGACTAGAACCGAACTCAAGTCCTGCTCTCCCCATGTAGCGAATGTGTGCCCAGCATTTCAAGTCTATAGACGACAACACATAGACGAGAAAGGTGAGTTATTCGCATTATTGCATCTGAACATGACAAAATACAACACTGCACATTTCTATATCACGTATACATGTGTATGCTACTGCAAGGAAATGCCTTTACTCATTTGCAGTCCGGTCTTCTAGACAAGATATCGCATATCTTCTTTTGAGAACAAAAAAATATGATTCTATTTCAAAGAAAGGTTTCAAAAATCAACCAGCTGGGACGTATTTTATTACATAGACTAAAAAATATGTTACATGAGCCGGGATAGCGTAGTCGGTATAGCGATTGGCGATGGGCTGGACAACAGAGGGGTCGGAGTTCGAGCCCCGGTAGGGTCAAGATTTTTCACTTCTCCGCTTCGTCCAGACCGTTTCTGGGATCCACCTAACCTCATATCTAATGAGTACTTGGTGTTCTTTCCTTTTGGGTAAAGCGGCAGGGGCGTGAAGCTGATAACTTACTTCCAACTAGTGCCGAGGTCAAGAAAATGTGGATCTATGCATTGACTCCCACTTACGGCTTCATGGCGTAGTGCTTAATTAGTTAAGCACAGGGACAACTTTACCTTTTACACTACTAAAACAGGTGTTGGTTCCCATAAATATTTAAGGCTTATTATATATAATATAAAGAACTGTATTTTTCTCAAAGAATGTATTTATATGCTTGGAGTAAACAGTTATTTTTCTGCAAGGGCACGAGGAGCTTCATAACTTGTACTCTTCTCCAGATATAATTAGAATGATCAAGTCAAGGAGGATGAGATGAGCAGGGCATGTAGCAGAAAAGGGGGGAAGATGAATGCATATAGGATATTGGTGGGAAAGCCAGAAGGAAAGAGACCAATAGGAAGACGAAGACGTAAGTGGGTGAAGAATATTAAAATAGATATAACAGAGATAGGATGGGGTGTTATGGATTAGATTTATCTGGTTCAAGATAGGGACCAGTACACGATACTGAATCTTCTGGTGCTACACGCCCTTCCCATCTCATTCTTTCTGACTTGATATTAGTAATTGTATTTTTACTATTAAATTTTTATTATTAAATATCGCAAGTACTCGCCACTTGCAAGGCGTATTCTAGGCAAACTTTTCTTAGATGCAGGAACGCGCCCCACTGTTAGGAGCCAATAGGTGGCATCGGGAGACATCAAGTCTCATAAATAGCGTTCAGTGGAAACTAACCTTTGAAATAATATTTAAACAGTACCTATATTCCAAACAACATCTACGCCATACACAAAGACGACAAGCATACATGTCGCATAACAATCTTACTGTTAAGTTTTAGAAGACTAAGCAAAAAGTATTGTGTACCTTTTGCCCAAGAATTATACTAATAGTTTGATTTGTTTCATTCTGGTCCGTCACACTAACAATTACAAATATAAATACTATGTATTGTAGCACATAAGTGTACGTACTTTACGTCTAAACAACATATCTGATGTAAGATTTAAGGCTTTCACGGCGGTGACTATGAAGAAAGCAGTCTTTTGGGATTTGGCANGTAGTAAAAACTTACAGGTCACATTGGACGGAGTGATTTATATTTGTAATTATACTAATAGTTTTCAATGTTCAGTGACTTTTACATGTGATGTTACTATGCGCCTATTTATTATTTGTTAATCAGTATTATTTTTAACGTTCAGTGAACACCTGAAAGGCCAATGGATCCATTTAGCTATTTTCTTTCATTGCTAGTGGGGAGGGACTAAGTCCCTTGTACTGCGGCCACTTCTGGCCTATTGTACCAGCCCCAGATGATAGGTGAGGGTGATTGTGGAGCAATTGGTGGAATTAAGATTGACAGGGGAAACCGAAGTACTCGGAGAAAACCTACTCCAGCCCTATTTTGTCCACCATAAATCCCACTTGACCAGACCCGGGATCGAACCCGGGCCGCCGCGGTGGGAAGCCAGCGACTAACCTCTTGAGCTATGGCGCGGCCCCATCTATTTAGCTAAATTACATACATACTTGATACACATACAACCATAACACAAATTTGGTTATGTATTCAAGTTTACATGAAAAATTTTATCCAAGTTTATGATAGAATAATTACAATTAAAAACCAGACGCAAATATGGCACACATGTACCTAATCACGTAGTTCTAGACAGCAAATTCCACCTGCTGGAAATAGTGTTGTGTTGACAGGAATATATTAAATGGTATCTGTACGCATTCAAGTATTCGAGAGTCTAAAGGACGTGACAGAGTATAAGTTGTGCGACTGAAAATTTATACATTTCGAAAATTATGACTGCGTTGCAAAAAGTTCAGCTCGCAGGAACTTCCTACACTGTAAAAATAGGCTCCGCAGAGTACTTCTTGCTAATAAAGCGATATAGTTTTATATAATTATAGAAAAGTGCCGGCGCTACCAGATTTTCTGAGAAGTAGTGGTTCTGAAACAGGGTCCAACTCAGCCTCGTGAAGATAATTGAGGAGCTATGATTGCGGCGCCGGTCTAGAAAACCGAAATTAACGGCCGTGGGGATCCGTTGCGCTGACCACGCGACACCCTCTATCCGCTAAAGTTGGCACTGGCTTCGCCGACGAGCTGGGGTTGCTCGGTCGGTATAGTTCGCTTGCGGACTCAAGCCACGGAGTTTGTCAATAACATCTTACATAGCGCTGAATAATGAAAGGCAGTGAACAATTAGTTGGAAAGGATGTGAAAGGAATCGGTCATAGTGTAATTGAAGATGTTATTCCAGCATTTTCCTGGAGTCACTGAGTAAATCTACGAAAAATATCAGTCATTTAGTTTTCTGGCCGAGAATCGATCAGAAGCCGTCAGAAGCGGTTACCGATTGAGCCAACCTTCTTGTTGGACCTCTGTCGGAATTCTGGTTTATTGTGGTCCAATTTATTCCTCACAGTTGAGTCCTAGGATACAGGAAAGGTAAAGTTATCCCCGTGCCCAATGAATTACGCACTAATCCACGAATACATACGAGGACTGAAGGTGTATAGCTCAGGACTAGATGGAGGTGAACGGGCAGCTTCCCCTGCTGCTTTACCTCAGGGGAAAGACCTTGCAGTGGGCCATAGCTTAGGTCTGGACGCGATGGATTAGAGGAAATTTCTTACCCCTGCCCAGAATCTAACGAAGACTCTTCCGGCGTCCATCTGGTAGCCTGGTCACGGCTCCTCGACTATTTGAATTATGCCTAAATATCTTAATCAGGCCACAAAAATATTATAATCAATCTTCTGTATCTAGGCTTAGCTGTAAGCAACACGCAGTACATTTTTCTGTGAGCTCATGAAGCTGTCCCGCAGTAACGGAAATGAGAACAGGCCTCAGCTTGTAGATTCAAGGAAAACGCGTTCTTATTAAAAGGTATGCTTGACATAAGACAGGATCTAGCGTCACTTGTCCATGTGAAACTCACTCTGTTCGTGTTACACAGCGGTTCTCAAAAATAAGTCTTTGGGCCATGCCAGGTTCTTCTCAGATTTGAAAAGTAACTTTTGTGGCATATACGACGCGGTTCTGAAATATAGGTCCTCAGGCTGTGCCAAGTTTTTCTCGTATTTTAAAATTCACTTTTGTGGTTGGCTCAATGTCTTTATCAAACAAGTCCTCAGGCAGTGCCAAGTTTTTCTCAGATTTGAAAAGTCGCTTTTGTGGCACATACGACGCGGTTCTCAAACTTAGGTCCTCAGGCTGTGCCAAATATTTCTCGTATTTTAAAAAGTCACTTTTGTGGTTGGCAGAATGTCTTTCTCAAAGAGGTCCTCATGCAGTGGTAAGTTTTTCTCAGATCTGAAAAGTAGCTTTTCTGGCTGGCATACAAAAGTTATCAACATAGGTTCTCAGTCCATGCAACGCCTTTCATCGGGTCTGAAATACATTTTCTTTACTTGTCACACAGACCCGACACGAATGGGGCATGAAACTGAAACTCACTCTTGTACGTAAGACTAAGAAATGCTGTCAGAATGTGTTAGTGCATATAGCGTATTGTAACTCGTGTATAATATATGCAAGGGTACATAAATGTTGGCTCATTTTGATTGGCAATTTGCCTGAATACCAGAGCGTATTTATCTTTTTATATTAAGATGAGATACAACTAAAGTGGAAAGGTGACATATTTTCCTAACGATACCTTTGCAATTCTTCCTACGTCACTGGCCATGATACCCATTTATTGCAACTACAATCCCATTAATGCAAAGGTATTCACACCAAAGATACCACACTCCATTAACAAATAAACTATTTTCCTATATGTAGTCTCCATCTTCATGGTAGAAGCCTGGAGATGGAATCAAAAGGTTCCCCCGAATAACCACAAAGAAAGCACAAATATGGTTGGGACAAAGATTTTATAAAGAAAGCAGTCTTCTGGGATTTGGCACCGTGTATATGTGGTGTTAACCGACGTTTCGGAGGAACGTATCGCCTCCATCTTCAGGGTAGAAGGAAAAATATAAGAAATCCGCAAGCGAAGAGACCGTGAGAACCGGTAAAAGCAGACTGCTTTCTTCATAGTCACCGCCGTGAAAGCCTCAAATCTTACAAAGATTTTATAACTTAGATGAGAGATGGACGTTATCAGGTCTGTTACTAGCAGACGTGTGAAGAGATGTTCTTGAGGAGAAAACAGTCACTAGTCAATAAATTATAGAACTTCTAGAGAACACGGAGCCAGATTAATCCAGATAGCATCCTTACACCCGATATAAAATGGCCTCTTTTAATACTAAATAATATTTGATTCCCGAAAGGGTCAAGAGATTTTCTCTTCTCCACAGCTTCCAGAAGGCCCCTGAGGCCCACCCAGACTCCTCACCAATGGGAAACGTGGGCTCTTCCTGGAGGTAAAGTGGCAGGGGCATGAAATTGACCATCCATTTCCACCTACAGTCCCGCCGCGTTAATATGAACCCTCAGTATTAGAACTCAGCATTATTTGTCTCGATACAGAATTGGCCGACAGTCACGTATTTGCCAGGCGCGTTGCTATGCGTCTTTCTTTGCGC